CTCCACCACCCGCAGAGCCCCGGGACGTGGCCCCAGCGGCTCCACACCCGTCCCGCTGCGGTGCAGCTGCCCCGGCCTGGCTCCACAGCCAGGGCAGGCAAAGGCCGTCTGAGGCAGCCCTGTGCCACGCTCACCTCCTCGTAGTCGTTCTCAGGGGTGAGGAAGTCATCCACGATGGTGACCCGGTGTCCCAGCTGCTCACTGAGGGCATCCAGGAATCGGTCGGTGTCGCGGCTGCGCGGGGGCCTGGAGAAGGTGAAGAGCTTCTTCCGTCGCGACAGAGGGCTGAGCAGGTAGTCCCGGTGCTTGGGGGACGGGGCTGGGCTGCTGTCGAGGCTGACGTAGGGGTTGGACTCGGTGCTGCTCGGGGAGGCCACGCTGCTGTGCAGGCGGTAGTAGCACTGCTGGGAGGCCAGAGGGTCGCTGGGCCACGAGATCCCCATCCCCGGCTTGCGAGCACCTGCGGGGGACAGAGGGGGTCCTGCACCGGGCGCTCCCCGCAGCCCCCCGTCACCCACGGGCTGCGGTGAGCCCCAGTCAGCGGAGAGGAGAGGGAGAGGGAGAGGGAGAGGGAGAGGGAGAGGGAGAGGGGAGATCCCTGCACAGGGGATTAACCTCCCTGCAGATGCAGGAGCCATCGCTGGGCTCACACGTGGCAGCCTCAGCACTTCCTTATAAAAGGGCCCCAAGGGCAGGATGTCTTCTCCTCCACCTGCCTGGCCAGCACCACCCAGCACCCCCCACGGTGGCCTGAGACCCCCCAGACCCCGCCGTGGGAAGCCGGACGCTACCTGCGGCGTGCGCCAGCTCTGGGGCGGGAGGAGAGGCTCTGTGCCGGGCAGCGGGGCCCATCTTGCTGGCAAAGCTGCCGATCAGGCGGTTTTCTAATTCCGCGTAGACAGCCGACATCTGAAAAAAAGGGCAAAGAGCTGCTGTCGGTGCCCGAATCCAGACGGGGCCCCCAGAGGCGGCCATGTCCCGGGGACAGGACCGCCACCGCAGACCCTTCAGCCCCCAGTCCCTTACTCGTTAGCGGGGTGCTTCACCCCAACCCAACACGACTCTGCCTGTCTGAAGCTCCCCAAGAGCCTCTCACCCCCAAGGAAGATGCTGACAGACTCCAGCCTTGTTAAAGCTGACTAATTACCCAGGGAAGTGATCCCGGAGCTGGGCTCTGAGGCAGGGATGTTGCCAACCACCAGCAGGTTATTTATGTGCAGACACATCCTTCCCTGTTCCCTTTTTTCTGCTTTCCTCTGTTAACATGAATCAAACTCGACCCTCCCTGTGAACGCAACGGTCCCGCAGACGCCGTTAAAGCCCTTCCCAGAGGCATCCCCCCGCCCCAGCCCCACGCCGTCGCACCATCTTGGGGTTGGGCGTCTCCGGGAGGGATGTGCCATCGCCAGCCTGTCTCTCTCCAGGGATCAGGCGAACTGGGACCTCCACAGTGTCACTCTGGCCTGCAGGGGAAGGCAGAGACAAACCCATCAGGATCCCCCCCTTCTGCCTCAGCGCCCCGGGGCTCCCGGCGGTCCCGGCCCATCTGGTCCCGCTGGGACCGGAGCCTCCAGCGCACAGCGGAGCGCCGGGAGCTCCGGGTCTGGGATCCCGAGGGATGGGTGCAGGGCAGGCACAGCCCCACGCAGGGGCTGCCTGGGGTACAGGGACCTCTCACCGCCAGCTTCCCCAGGCGGCAGCAAAACGCACCCAGAGAGGAAGCATGACACGTGCTAAAAACCAAGCACAGCCAAGGAGGAAAAAAATCCTCCTACACCTTGCCCTCTACCTCTCCATACTGAGCTTCTTTCTCTCTAAAATGAGGATATTACTCATCTCGCCGTCTACCCGGTTGGTAGGTTTGGAAGCTCTCTGTAAACCCTCCGCAGCCGAGCAGGGCTGTGACTGCAGGACGGGCAGCGTGTTCCTCCCTGGAGCCGCCCGCGGGGGACAGAGCCCAGCGAGGGGGTTCCAGCACAGTATTTCAGGAGAAGAGACATTACCCAGGGACCCGCCGGAGTTTGCACACTGAGAACTCTCCAGATATCGAGGGGCTGCAGTGCCATGAGTGGGGTTTTTTTTCTGGGTTTCTTTTCTTTCAGCCTCCCCGGTAGGTGCGGGATGCCAGGACAGGGTCACCACACGTGGCAGCCAAGGTCACTGTTTCCAAAATCGGGTCCTTTTGGTCGCAGATGCCTGTGCAGCACCAGCCGCCCCAGCAGCGTCCCCTGAGAAGGGGCTCTGCAGGGGACGCGAGGAGGGAGGGAGGTCTGAAGGCACAAGGGAGATCACTTCGAGGGACGGTATTTGACCAGCTCCAAATTAAACTCGTTTTTTCCATTATGTCCTTGGAGAGCTTCTGTTTGGAGGTTACAGGGTACAAGCTCTCAGAGATGTTCCAGATCCCCGACTTATCTCCAAGGGGGTGTGATGAGCTGCTGGGAGGAAGCAGTTTGCTGTCCTTGCCTTTCCCCCGCTGCTGGAGGGCAGCTCGAACAATTCGCATTCCCTTTCAGCCACGATATTTCCACCCAGCAGCCAGGGCCGGGCCGAGTACTGGGGTGGGCGGGCAGAGCTGCGGAGAGCCCGGCGGAGAGCTCTGCTCACACCAGCGTCAAACCAGACCCGAGTGCTCAGAGTCTGGTGTTTAAGGGCAACAAATAAATTAAAACCCGGGATGGCCATAGCTGGCTGTAAGGAGAAAGGGCTCTGGAGTGGGGCTTTCATCAGGAACAGGAGGTGTAGCCCCCGGCCCTGCATCACCCCCCTCTCCAGGACTGAGGAACGTTGTCTGCTTTCGATAAATAAATATTCTGTGCAGGGAGGTGAGCTAGGAGCACCCGGGGTAGGATGTGCCCCAGAGCCCGCTGGGGTGAGGTTAGCACAGCGGGTCACAGGCTGCTCTGCTCTTTCCGCAGGGCAGGTGAGGACGAGGCTGCTCCCCCACAGCTGGCGAACATCTGCCCGGGTGAGCGGCTTCCCTCTGGCGCCCGGAGCCGTCGGCCGCTCTCCGTGCTGAGATCACGACCAGAAATGCTCCTCGGAGCCAGGGTAGAGGATATTCCCTGAGAAAATGTCTCTGAGTTGGCTGCTCTGGCAGGAGCCCTCCCCGACAGCTGAGGAGCACCGCGCTCCCGGTGAGAGGTGATGGGAGGGAGCCTGGCTGGTCGGGATGGGGGGACATCGTGGTCAGACGCCGTAAGCGCAGGTCAAGGGCCCTTCGCCATCAGCTACGGGCGAGGGAGGAGCAGGCAGGATGCCTTGTCCTGCCATCTGGGAGAGGAGGGCAAAGACCCAAAGGACTGGAAACACAACCAGTGACCTGGAGTGGTGCTGGGGGAGAGGGTTGGAGACCCGGGGGCTGGGGGAGAGCCTGCAGCAGTCCCGGGAGGACGGGATTTTCAGAGGAATGGGGAGAGATGGGGCTTGTCTCTGAAAGGAGGGAGGGTTTGTGCCGTGAGGGTAGTTCATCAAGAGTCTCAAAGTGGTGCTGAACTGTGATCTCCTCCCTCACATGGATTTCACAAATGCTGTTTTCCCTGCGAATCTGACAGCGCCCGAGAAAGTTCACAGAGAAGCTAGAAGCGGTGCACCCCCGAAGGGAGGGCTCAGACAGGCAGGATCTGTTCACACCTGAGCAGGGCAAGGGATTGGAAACAAGGTTCAGCCTCAGCCCAAGTGGCCTCTTACTGAACTGCTTTTTTCAACTGCTCCTGAAAACACAGATTTCCAGCCAAAGCCCCTGTGCTGGCTCTGTGCTGCCCTCCAGCTTTTCCCAAGGTTCATGCTTAGGGATAGGTCAGGATTTTGGCTTGGGGCAGAGCAGAAGGACACTACAGACACAGCCAGCAGGACCCAGCTCCCTCCTCCCCACAGCGGGAACCCCGGCGCAGCCCCCCATCACCCACCTGCTGCCCCCCCATCTTCGGGGCGGGGGGTTCGGAGGCTGCCCCGGCACAAGGAGGCCCCTCGGACGGAGCTGCGGTAGCGGTCCTCTGCTTCTGGCTCGGCTGCAGCAGAGAACACCCTTCGTCAGGCATGGCCGGCGCGTGCCAGCCCCCGCAGCTCCCCCATTCCTCCTCGCCACGACACGGGGGCTCCCCCAGGCCCGTCGGACTCGCAGCCGCTCTCTGAGCCCCGTCCTTGACCATGACTCCGGGCGCAGCCTTGCTGGCCCTGCGGCTGCCTGTTCCCCCCTCCCCGGTCACTGCTCACCCCGTTGCGCTGTCCCGGGGAGCGGAGCCGGTTACAAATGCTCCCGCCAGCACAGGGCAGGGGGGTGGATGCCCAAAGATGATGGGACATGCAATTGCCTTTTCTAGCAGGATCGGCATCCACCAGCTCCTGGCGCGCATGAAACTCCAGCCCTGAGCTCGGCCAGCCCAGTGGGACCCAGCTAATTCCTTCCTGCCCTCAAGGGACAAGACGGGAGCGGGGGCCAGCACTGAAATGCTGCCTGGAAGAACCTCGTTGTCTGATGGATGGGTCTGTGTGCTCAGGGAGGCTCAGACTTCCAGCAGCATGGAGATACCAGAGCATCGGTCTCCGTGGGATCTGACAGACCAATGCGCGGACACACACAAACGTCAGAGATCGCTGCCGAGTTTGGAAGAAGCCCAGATGAAGGACTAGCCCAAATTCAGAGATCTCTGGCCATCGCGTGGACACGCACGGCACGCACCGGAACAACCAGAACTTCACAGGGTCAGAGATTTCCCCCTTCGCCTGAGAAGCTGAAAGGAGCCAGGGACCAGCCTGCAAACCGGGGACTAGTCTGGTCCTGGGAGATTTCCTCCCGTCCAGTGCCTGGGGATACCTGCCTTGTATTCCCAAAATACAGCTGCAAGCTGCAGTAGATCAGCTTCCCTCCGAGATCTAGAGTTTATGAACTAATTCTAAGGTCTACACTCCTGAGAGTATACAACACATCAGGTAGGGCAGGCCATGATTCTGCACACACACAAGCAGCGATAAGTTAAAGTGCGAATTAGGTGAGCAAATACCCAGCAGGTTTCCATGCAGAGCGGGGGGTATTTGCACCAGGACTTGGAGCTGTTTCTCCCTGCAAGGCTGTGCTAAAACAACTGTGTTCCTCCAAAAGTCTCTCTTCAAGCAACACCTTTTACCTAAGTTGAGTCTAAAATAAACACATCAACACAAAGCAAATAGCTTCGAAGGGAAGAATCTAGAAGCCGTTAAGAAGCTTAAATCCAAAGATTAAGGCATTTCACTCAAATTTGCCGTCACTTTTCTGCTGTCTGACTGCAAACCCGTCATCCTCAGCAAACCGCAGCTGGGTTTTGTGTCAGGGCAGCCCCAGGTGACGGCAAGGGGAGAGGGGGAGAATCACCAACCACCTTCCGAGTCTTTCTGGGAGCTGCCTCCCCACCTCCTCTGACCACGGGTGCCTGCGCCCGTCTGGCTGCTGGAGCTGCCCTCACCGGTTATTTTACCTCTCTGATCTGAACACTGCCCCTAAACCAGCTTTTTCCTTCCCTAACCTGTAACAACCCAAGCAGCCTCCAAGAGCCTTTGCTCCCAGAGACACCTCTCAGGTGCCACCTCTCCTCTCCACGCAGAGTTTCCTTCCAAAACTACACGGCTCCGTGGTGCGGAAAAGGCAACCTCCCGCCTGACATTTACAGATCAGCCTCATGGGTAACAGGAGCTGGGAATTCCTCTGTGCTGCTCTACATCCCACACGGCCACCGGCTCGGTGCGGGCAGCGTGTGGGCAAGGGCCGGGCAGGGCAGAGCTGGCGGCTCCCTCGCCGCCCCAGTCAGCTCCCAGTGCGATGCACCGAGGTTCCCGGGGACCCGACGGGACCCGGCGTGTCCGTGCCGGAGCGTGGGGCCTTTCCTCTCACCTGCCAAGGACTTGTAACCAAGAAACCTGGCAATCTTTTGCTGGCAGTGCTCCTGCTCTTCGTATGTCAGCAGCTGGTAGATAAACTGCCAAATGACTTGCTTGGCCGGTGTGTCCAGCACCGGGTACACATCCACAATGAGAGTGTCAATATTCCTGCAAAATGGGAAAGAGAGGGCCGGGCAGTGAGCGCGTCCCCCCGGCACAGCCCCCCACGCCGCCGGGCCTCGGCTGCCGGGTTTGCCTCGCAGTCTTCGGCACAACCGGAGGAATTTCCAAGCAGAGGTGCCGGGCTCCTGGTGCGGGACAGAGCGCTTTGGGCAGGGCGCTTGGGCAGCTGGTGCTAACGGGGAGAGCAAACTCCCGGGGAGTGGCGGCACCTGACAGACAGGTATAAAACCTGGTTCGTGAGTCAGCTGGGGGAAGTGAGAAAGGTGGAGGAGCAGCAGAAAGGAGCCGTGGGAAAAGCTGCATTTTGGCCAGCAGCAGGTAAGCAGGCTCAGGGAGGGGTGGCTGGGCTGGAGGCTTGGTCTCGTGTCGGCTCTGTGGTGTGCGGAGATGGTGAAGGGGTTGTTGAGGGTGGCAGGGCTGAGCATCTGATTCCGAGAGGAGGATAAAGCAGCCTGGGGCAGGAGGGCTGTCCTGGGTCAGAGAGCAAAGGTCAGGCTGCTTTCTGCTCTGAGAAACTGAGGCAGAGATGGTGGGTTAAAGCTCACGGCAACTATTGCATCCTTAATGTAGAATAGTAAGAACTTCTTAAAGAACCGAGGGAGATGGCATATCTAGGAACAAATGTGTTGTCTTGAACAGCCCCTTGCTGCCTTCCAGGGAGCAGGCACACAGGGGAGAGCTGAAGGGGGAAGAGGTTTGGATCTGAAAGGACTTTATCAATGAAGTGTCTGGGGTGAGGAGCGGTGGAAGCCTGCCACAAGTCACCTGCGAAGCTTCTCCCTAGGCTGGGGCTCGCTTGCCTCTTCTGTGGAGCTGGACACAGCTCTTGGCTGCCAGAAGCCTCTTTCCCCTTCTGAAACGTTAAAAGTGCCGTGGAGGAGCTCTGCCCTGAGCAGCCTCTGCTCCTCCTGGGCCGTGGCTGGGGCCGGCTGGTTTGTCATGTGCGAACTGGCCGGGGGTCAAAGCCCAGCCCAGGGGTGTCCTGGCTCCATCCCCTGTGCTCGCTGCTGGGAAGCGCTGGTGTCTGCGTGTTGTGGTGGTGAGCAGACTTAACGTTTGGGGATTTCCCTCCCTGTCGGAGCAGTTAGAGGCCACAGCTGCTCATCTGGGACAGGCGTGCAATTAGGTCATGAGGAATTATTGTTAAATGGAGCAGCAGCATCTGCATCGAGCCGGTCGGGTGGCTACGGGCAAAATGAGATGGCTGGAGGAGGGGGTGGGTGTGCCATGCTCTCGCTGTGCCTCGCTCCCCGCAGCCAGCAGCTGGGGGGGCAGTGACAGCCCCCGGTAGATCACGGCTGGCAAACGGAGCTGCCCCGCGCTGGGAGGGAGCCTGGCGGCTGGATTCGTGGGACTGGAGTTCCCCATCCTTGTGCCGCTGAGCAAGAGCAAATTCCCTGCCAGGATCGCGTCAGTGTGAGGCTCGTGGTCGCACCGGATGATCTTCAAGGTCTTTTCCAAGCGAGATGATTCTGTGAGGCTGCGTGTCCCGGGTGCAGACCCCAGGGACTGGCTCTGCCCCCACAGCTGCTGCTCCTCAGGCTGCAGCGCTCGACTGGGGAACCCTGTGGAAGCTGTGCAGCCTCAGGAGAGCACAAAGCAAAGACTTGTGCTTTACCCGGGCAGTGTCGGTGATGGCTGGGCCTCATGAGGGTTCACCCAGCTGGTGCTGGGGGGATTTACACCTCTGGGCCCGCCCCAGCACCTGCAGGCACAGAGGCAGCCTGGCCTCACTGCAGGATGCTGCAGCCCTCAGCCAGAGCCACGGCTTTGTACTTGGTAGTTTCTGTCCTCCTGCCTTAAATACTGAGGGATTTATTGCATTTGGGCTGCTGCACCATTGCAGCCACTTGTCTGGCCCTGGCTGGTGCATCCGCAGCCGTGGAGGTCCTGGGGGCAGCCTGGTCGGCTCGGCCGCTGCGGGAGGAGGCAGCGAGAATCTCCCGTCGCCCCCAGGGATGGCTTATTCACTGTGATGCAGAGAGGTTAAAGATCGAGGGCAGAAAACAAGGTCACTACTGCAAGTCTGGAGTCTGCCAGGGGATGGGCTTCACCCCTTGCAGCGTGTCGGGGAGGATGGGCTCCACGGCAGGACGAGGGCTCTGCCGGCCGCTGCCGCCCAGGGAACGCTGAGCCAAGGTGATGGGAAAAGTGAGAAGGGAAGGGTGAAAGGCTGTGAGATCTGGTGAAAGAAGTGGGACAGGATCTGCGGCTGCCAGGGACAGCCAGACAGCAAGAGAGCCCGCCCTGCGGGGAACCCAGGTCACTTTATGAGGGATTAAGGGGTGACTGAATTAACCTCAAAAGCTAAAGAGGCTGCCCTGCCCTCAGGCAGGAAACCTGGCGATGGATGGGCTTGTGCCCTGCGGACACGCACGGGGAAATACCCAGCTGGGGACAGCGAGGACATGCTGGCAGCCTCGCAGCCAGGGCCTGCCTTCTGCTCGGAGGCTGACTCTGACACGGGCATGGGTACCAGCATGAGGGGGATGGAGCTGCTAACGAGTTACCGATGTTGGAAGAAGCCTTCCAGGGCTTTGCAGGTGGTATAGCGCTCGGGCGGGGTCAGCAGGTGCTCCAGCTGCTGGGTGAAGGTCCTTCCTTGAATCCTGATGCTAGAGGGGAGTATCTCTGCGACCCACTGCAGGGAGGTGAGGGCAGAGGAGGTGCTCGGGGAGTCAGCAGAGTCAGAGTCTGCAAGGTGCAGGTAGAAAGAAAAAAGAAAATTCAACAGACAAAGGGTCTTAACCACAGGTTTAAAGGCTTGTCCTGACACCAGGGGTCCATCGCGGGGACAGCCGGGGCAGCTGCACAACAGGTGCTCCACAGAAACGCAAACCCTGATGTGCCAGCACAGGCATTTTTCACCCCAGCAAAACCAGATCTCAGTCACTGAAAGTCACGGGGACGAGGTGAAACGGCTCATCTGGAGCTGTGCCTGCCCCTGCCTTCCTCCCACGCTCCGCACCAGCTGCTCTGGGGCTTGTGGCTGTTCCCGTGGGTCCATGGACCTGCTGGAGACGGGCGGGGGTGCTTGGGGTGCTCTCTGGGATCTACCTCTTCAACCACGCCGCCTGCACGCTCCTTTCTGAACGCACGCAGACGGTGTTCCTTCTCTGGCTCCCTAAAGCCTCTCCTCAGGTTTCAAAGCCCTTTATGATAATGACTGACTTGAAAAGCAGCGGCAGTCAGGGGTTACCTGTGAGGGGACTGAGGCACGGGAGGACGTTTGCTTTGCCTGTGTGAGGCCTCTGCAGTGGGTGCAGGGCGATGCACCCAGCTGGGAGAAGGGACCTGGCAGACCATGGGATGCGCTTATCCACGTAGGAATATGGCCAAGGTAGTGGGAGCAAAGAATTCCATCTTTTCTTGGTTCCTTTTGGGGGCAGTGAAGCAGTTTGAGTGCCGCTGGCTCTGTGCCGTGAAGCAGTAAGGTGCTCAGTTTCACTTCTAGTGCACGTGCAAGCGCGTTGGTATCACAGGGCTCCTAATGTGAAGCTCAGGAGAACCCATCGCTGCTCTGGAGGGAAGGACCAGTCCCTAATTCCACTGCAGAGCAGCACCCCAATACCACACCGACCCTCCTGCCTTCGCCCAGCTTTGGAAACGCAGCAGCGACCGCGCTCTGCCCCGGGCTGCGGTCCTGCCCCTCCGCTGAAACCGTGCTGACAAGCTCCCGCAGTGCCCCAGACACCCTCGTCCCCTGCTGACTCGCTCACCGGCAGCAAGCTAAATTATTCATCAGAGCAGCAGTTATTGTGAACAGCACAGTCCATACACAACCGTGGGATTTGCACAGCGGCCGCGGAGGCACAGGCTTGGATTACTTTGGTCAAGTACATGGCACAGCCCGCACGTAAAGGACACTGGCAAGGACGATCACACAGTAGGATGAATTCTTCTGGAGAGCAGCCAAGCCAGAGCTTAAGCCTGATCCCAGAACGCGTGCCCCGGTGGGAGGAGCAGCCCCCCGGCAGCGCATTAAACCCGCTGAGCCTACGGACGGTGCTGGACCATTCCCTCCTGCCAGGGGAACTGGGGAGCGGGCGGGGGGTTGCTGCCGCTCCAGGCCCTCTCCTCCCCGCGCTCTTACCGTTGGCGAAGTTGACGATCCCCTCTTCCACCACCAAGGTGGGCATCGCCCCGCTGCCCTGCAGCATCGACACCACCTTGTCGTGGGAGCAGTTCCTGCGGGGCACAGGAGAGCGGGGTCAGGGCTGCCAGGCGGGAGAGCGGCCGTGAGACGGGGTTGGCAGCTTGCAAAAAGCCTCATCTCGCTGCTCAGAGCCAGCGTTGGGCCCCGCCGTGATTCCCCTGGAATCTTTGCGTGGTTTTTATCTGCTGCACAGAAAAGAGCCTCCCCGAGGGAGAGTCCCAATCCCCCCCGGGAGCGGGCGCTGGCCTGTGCCCGCAGCGAGGAGCAGCCCCGGGGCCAGCGCAGCTGCGCTCAGACCCAGAACCTCCAGTCTGAATAACAGTGCTGCAGGTCTCTCCTTGCCTGTCCTAATTCTGCTTGGAAAGAAGACCCGAGGTGGATGTAAAATGCTTTTTTTTTTGGGGGGGGGGGG